CACCGGAGGCAGGAATGCTTTGTGCTGCGGGCGGTTTCCTTTGTTGTTTTTTGAGATACAGTTCCTGTAACATAAATGAACCATTTTGAAGTGTACAGTTGAGGTTGGTTATTAACATATTTTAGTTTTTACTATATTTACTGTGTTGTGCAACCATTGTCTAATTCCAAAACATTTCCAGCACCTCAAAATGAAATTGCATACTCATGAAACCATTATTCCCCATTCCCATTCTTCCTTTCCTCAGCCCCTGGCAATCACCAGTCTACCCTTTGTGTCTGTGGATTTGCCTATTCTGGGTTTTCACATAAATGGAATTACACAATGTGGCCTTCTTGTGTCTGGCTTCTTTAACTGAGCATGATGTTTTCTGAGGCCCATCCGTGTATTAGTATTTCATCCCATTTTGTTGCTGAGTAATATTCCCTGGTGTGGACACGCCACATTTCATTCATCCATTCACCGGTTTTTGGACATTTGGGTTATTTCTACCTTTTGGCTGTTATGAAAAATGCTATAATGAACATCCGTGTGTAAGTTTTTCTTGACAGCCCGTTTTCATTTCTCCCGGAGAGACACTTAGGAGTGGAACTGCCGTGTCATGTGGTGACACCGTGTTTCACCTTTTGGGGAACTGCCAGGCCGTTTTCCACAGAAGCTGGTTGCATCACATTCAATTCCCCCTAGCTGTGTGGGAGTGTGTTGTGCAATTGCCTTTTTTGCCAGGTCTTCCTGCCCATCTGTCCTCATTCGGATAAAGTCTGAGTGTGGAGACTTAGCTGGAAGAGGCTGGTCAGTCTACCCGCAGTGGGTCCAACGTACAAAGTACAACGGCTTTGCCAGTGCCAGTGTACAAGGGACACCTTCTGAAACTGGACCCCCAGCTTGTCTGTTGTATTTGCACAGCAAGCTGCATGTTCCAGAGAAAGCTCGTCCCTTGACCTTCCCTAGGTGGGTCCAAGGAGGGCTCTGCAGGAGTCACGGTCCTTCAACCCTGGGCACGGTGTCTATTGCGGGTTAGATTCCTGTCCACCTACTGTTAGGGTAGTCAGCACAGGTGGGCACATGGAGCCCACGGCTGCTTGCTCCCTAGTTAGCCCATGTCGTTCCTCACGCCTGTTTTTGGAGAGCTGCATAGTCCAGTCTCAGGGAAGACAGGCAGAAACATAGTATAGGGGTAGGATAGTAGCCATTTCTTACCTGGGGAGAATAACCTCGGGCTCAGATCCCAAGTGTCTGGGAAAGAGACGTGCCCCTCACGTCCTCCTGCTGCCTCCCTCTATAAGGGCACCATGGACAGTCTGGCACTGGAGTACAACATGCCCATGTTCAGTGTCGCCCAGATGTCCTCCTGCTTCCTTGAAGTCTCTCACTCTGGGGGCTCTGAGTGCCTCTGCTTGGGTCTCAAGCTCTAGGTGGCTAAATTGTCAGGCGGAGAAACAAAGGCACGTAGTGGTAGTTGCCACAGTGGGGAAGATGTTGGATTCCCTAGCCCCCATCGGTGCCACCCATGGGAGAGAGAGCCAGCAAGGACTGATCTCCTTTTGGGTCTGAAAGTGGCCCTGTGAAGTCTTAGTCCACCCAGACACTAAGTGGCTTTGAGGTGCAGCTGGAGAAAGGTGGCCTCACCTACCTTGGGTTGAAGGCCAGACTCACACAGGCCTGAAAGTCACAGGAGGGTTGCTAGTACCACATGTGACTGGAGTGAGGACTATCTGAGTAACGTCAGGTCACAGTGTGTGCTCCTGTCCATATTGCCACCTTCGTTTCTTCGGAGCATGCCCCCGACTGCTTACTTGCTGAGTATGTGACCAGACAAACGACCCTTACTGCGGACCCTTCAGCATCCCACACTGCAGCAGGCAGCAGCCTGAAGAGCAGAGCGCTGGTGGCGGAGTGGCTGCCGTGACCCCTCTGTGATCTGGGGAACGTGTGCGACTCTGCACTTTTCACCTTTGACCTCCTCAGCATGTCTAATTCTCACTCCCAAGTCAGCCGATTTCTGCCATTGTGGTTGTGATGTCCAAGGGCAAGGTAATCCACCAGAGACGGCTGGCAGCCCCGTCGTGAAAAGAACCACGTCTACTTGCTCTGAAGTGTCCTTGGCTGAAAACGTGCAGAGAGACTTGGCCAAATGCTTCCTGATTCTTTTTAGTTCCAAGTCATGTTATTTCAACCCACTGGTAGCCCCCAGGGACCTGCTTGTTAGAAATTTGCAAAAATGACAGAAAAACAGCAATGGGTCAAGGGAGAGTTGGTGAAAACCATTTCACTAAATAGACTCAAATTTCTGGAACTTTTTTTTTTTTTTTAAGAGGGAGAGGTGGGGAAGGGCAGAGGGAAAGAGAGAATCTTAAGCAGGCTCCACATACTGCACAGAGCCCAAGCAGGGCTCAGTCTCACAACGCTGAGATCATGACCTGAGCCAAAATCAAGAGTCAGATGCTTAACTAATTGAGCCACCCAGGTGTCCAGAATTTCTGGAACTTTTGAGAAAGGGATAATCTGCCTTGCACAGAAAAGGGAACCAAGCAAAAGGATGAGAACCTGAGCCATCATGCTCAGTGAGCTGTTGATTTACTGTGGTCACATATTCGTACCTCAAAGGCTGTGCTGGGCACGTCCATATTTATTCTGGAAGTAACAAGAATGTAGGAAGAATTCATTCTTACCATGGCCTCTTTAACAGGTCAGTCCTCTTTTAGTGACTGTCATTAATCAGTAACCTAATCGACAAGCAAGTTCTCCTTTCTTATCTTTTTTTTTTTTTTTAAGATTATTTAATTGTGGGATGCCTGGGTGGCTCAGTTGGTTAAGCAGCTGCCTTCGGCTCAGGTAATGATCCCAGCATCCTGGGATCGAGTCCCACATTGGGCTCCTTGCTCTCAGGGAGCCTGCTTCTCCCTCTGCCTCTGCCTGCCATTCTGTCTGCCTGTGCTCGCTCTCTCTCCCTCTCTCTCTGACAAGTAAATAAATAAAATCTTTTTTTTAAAAAAAAGATTATTTAATTGTTTATTAGAAAGAGAGAACAAGCGGCGCCTGGGTGACGCAGTGGGTTAAAAGCCTCTGCCTTCCGCTCGGGTGGTGATCTCAGGGTTCTGGGATCGAGCCCCTCATCGGGCTCTCTGCTCAGCCGGGAGCCTGCTTCCCCCCTCTCTGCCTCTCTGCCTACTTGTGATCTCTCTCTGTCAAATAAATAAATAAAAATCTTTTTTAAAAAATAGTTCCACTGTTAATGAAAGTTTTTTTTTAAACATTTTATTTATTTATTTGACAGAGAGATCAGAAGTAGGCAGAGAGGGAGGCAGAGAGAGAGAGAAGGGGAAGCAGGCTCCCCACTGAGCAGAGAGCCCGATGCGGGGCTCGATCCCAGGACCCCGGGATCATGACCTGAGCCAAAGGCAGAGGCTTTAACCCACTGAGCCACCCAGGTGCCCCTGAGAGATTATAAGAAAGAGAGAATAAGCAGGGGGAGCAGCAGGCAAGAGGAAGAAGGAGAAGCAGGCTCCTTGCCAGGCAGGGAGCCCGACATGGGACTCGATCCCAGAGTCCTGGGATCGTGACCTGAGCCGAAGGCAGACACTTCACCAACTGAGCCACCCAGGTGCCCCTTGTCCTTTTCCTTTCTATATTCCAACCCCCCAAGTGGGCCTTCTCAGCCTGACCCCTTCCTGTACGTTTGCTGCACATCAGAGTCACCTGTCCCACTCTACATGTTTTCACTGTCTCCTGCTAAGCAAGCCCCCACCCAGATGGGACTGCTCTGAGCTGCTCGTGTGTCCTTCAGGACTGCGGACGAAACACTCAGTTTTGTTTCACCTAAGTGGCATCTCGATTCATACACTGTGTTTTCCCAGTAAAGCATACAAAGAGCTCAGAAAAAGCCACTGTGGTAGGCAGAACACCCCCCCCCACCTTTCCCCAAAGTCCCTAGAACCTGTGACTGTTACTCACACAGCAAAAGGGACTAGGAGGTATGATAATGGATCCTGATGTGGGAGATTATCCTGGATTATTTATGGTGGGCCCAGTGTGATCACAGTGTCTTTGTATAGAAGAGGCAGGAGGGGCAGTCTGATGTTTCACTGCTGGCTCTGAAGACGGAAGATGGTGACATGAGACAAGGAAAGTAGGTGGCATCTAGAAGCTGGAAAAGACAAGCAAACAGATCCAGGCTTTGAGCCTCCAGAAGGAAGCAACACTGTTGAAACCTGGCTTCAGGACTTCTCTCCAGACCTGTGAGCTAATAAATTTGCATTGCTTTAAGCCACTAATTTGTGGCAATTTGTTACGGCAGCAATAGAAAATTAACAGCCACAGTGGAATTTGGAAATAGTAACAGGAGGCATCGGGCCTTCTTGATGTTGGTCGCTGCTGGAATGATCAGGGCCCCCAAGTTGGGCTGTTCACTTTACATTTATCATGCCCGTTTCTCAGGCTGCCAGACCTGAGAGAACCAACGTTGCTTGGTAGAAGTGGGGAGGGGCACAGCTGGTGGCCAGCCCTGCTGTCGGATGAGCCCTACCTTGCACCTCCCAGAAGACCTGGCTGATGGCAGGTGAAGAGGGTTGGGCCAGGTCAAGGCAGGGAGTCAGTAGGGCGTGCTGCCAGGAAGCTGGTGGTTGGGAGTGGAGTGTGATTCTGGGGCGTGGGCAGCTTTGTAATTGGGGTATGTCTTGCTAAAGGGAGGGGCAAGTCAAGGATGACGGTGTTCCAGCAACTGGTGAAGAGTAGGGATGATGCTTTCTAGGGCCTCCGTGACATCCTAGACCGTGGCAGATGTCAGGAGTCAGGGCAGGAGGCTCCAGTATTCTCACTGCCTGATGTCATTTCTCTTCTTTCTTCCCTGGGCTATGGAAAGGTGGGGGCAACCCCATCAGTCCTGGGGTCATCATTCTTTGACAGTTCTCACCTCTCCCATCCTGGGAACTGCCAACCTCCATTTCTCCACTGCTCTTCCAGATCCTACATCCTGGACACTGTTGGGGGCTGGCCCCAGGATGGAGGCTTGGGCCCAGAACTCCAGGCAGGGAGGCATCCCCAAGGCAGATCTCCAGGGAGCCGACAGGGGCCAGGAGGAGAGGCCCAAGATGGCGTGGAGGCCCGTGGCAGAGGACCCGGCCAAGAGACACCCCTCTCAGGAGGGAGACTACATGGAGGGACAGCAGGTGGCAAGACGGCTCCCCAAGGCAGGGACTCCTGGAGCTGGGGCCTTGGTATGAGCCCCAGTCCAGGGACCCGCCAGAGTGCAGGAGCAGGACCCCTGGTAAAAGAACCATGTGGCCCTACCTCCTCTCAGGACCCCGACCTAGTCATTCCCCAGAGGCCACATGCTGGGGAGGGCCCCTGTTGGTGCCCAGTCAATGCCAGGGCCTCCAGCTGTAGCTGCTGCCTGGCACAGCATCACAGAACACCCCCAGAGGAGAAGCCCCTGGTGTGTGATCACTGTGGAGGCCAGCTGCTGTGCTGGTGCTGCCCCAGGACCCAGCTGTGCCAGGTCCACACAGAGGAGGGGTCGCAGGAACAGCGCATAGGCACCCAGACGCTTCCCAAAGACGCTGCAAGTGACCCTCTTTCAGCAGAAGCCCCTGAAGGAGCTGCCCCAGGCCTGCCGTTGCCGCGAGGGCTTGACCTGGACGGCCCTGCCCTGGACGGCCCTGCCCTGGACGGCCCTGCCGGACGCGCAGGAAACGGTGTGGCCGGTGTGGCGAGCGCCTTGGCTCCGACAAGCAGCCGCAGGTGGCCGAGGGCCCCTTAATGTGTCCTCAGTGTGGTCAGGCCTCGGGTCCCGGCTGCGGCGCCCCCGACCCCCTGGCGCAAAGGCCCTACGTCTGCGACCAGTGCGGCAAGGCCTTCGCACGCACCTCTAGCCTGCTGCAGCACGAGCGCATCCACACCGGCGAGTGACCCTATGAGTGTGCCCAGTGTGGCAAGGCCTTCGTGCGCTGCTCTGGCCTCCACCGCCACCAGAAGACCCACTCGGCCGAGCACCACCGCCACAGCCGGGCCCTGGCCCGGAGGTCCTGCCTCTTAGGGTGCCCGCCCTGTGGGGACTGTGGCGAGGGGACCCGGGGGCCTCCACGGGTGCCCGTTGCCGGGCAGAAGCCATACGAGTGCGCAGAGTGCGCCAAGGCCTTTGCCCTGTTGTCACACCTCGTGGAGCACCGGCTCGTGCACACTGGCGAGAAGCCCTACGCGTGCCCGGAGTGCGGCAAGGCCTTCAAGCAGCGCTTGAACCTGAGTCGCCATCGGCGCACACACAGCAGCGCCAGGCCCTACGCCTGCCGGCTGTGCGACAAAGCCTTCAAGGGCCGCTCGGGCCTGCTGCAGCACCGGCGCGCGCACACCGGCGAGCGGCCCTACAGCTGCCCCGAGCGCGGCAAGACCTTCCGCGGCTGCTCCGGGCTGCGCCAGCACGAGCGCCTGCACTCGGGCGAGGAGCCCTACATCCGCCGAGACCGCCGCAGGGCCTTCGTGCGCAACTGCAGCCTGGTCCGCCACCGGCGCACGCACACGGGCGAGCGGCCCTACGCGTGCGCCGAGTGCGGCCGCGCCTTCAGCCAGCGCTCCAAGCTCAACGAGCACCGCAGGCGGCACGCGGGCCGCGCCGCCTCCTGAGCCTGCGAAACTGCGAACGGCGCCGGGCTTCCCCGAACCCCGCTTGGTACTCGCTGCGTCCGCAGGCTTCCTCCGCTCCCGCCGTCCTGCGCCCTTGCGGGTGCGCGCACAGCGAGGGGCTCTGGCGAAGCGCTAATAAAGGCGCGCGTGGAGCGCGCTGTGAGCCGGAGGCCGCGTGGGCTCTCGGGAGTCCGGCTCCGCCTCCCGGGTAGGCTGGAAAGTGGGGAAGCGGGGGCGTGACTCCCCCGGGCACAGGCAGAGAATGGTGGAGGTGACTTTTGACCCCAGGACCTCTCCTTGCACTTGCCTAGGGGGCTTCGTGAGCCCTTGGTGTCCTGTGGGTGTTTGCACACCCATTAGTGTCGCTTGGCCCGGCCTCCTCCGTTTGGTCTTCGAGATGATGATCTCTGGCCTCCCTGGGCTTCAGAAGAGGGACTATGCAGTGACCATCCTGGGGCCGATGGCCACGGGCTTCGTGGGCACGGCCTCTGCCTGCCCTACCGCCCCCCCCCCCCACCGTGGCTCCTACTCGCTACGCAGAGGGCTCCCCTTGGAAGGAGGAGGGATTCCCGGGCAGCCTTGGCCTGGCTTGTGATTAGCAAGTGGGGACCTCATCATGTCAAGTCGAGGCCTGTGATCCAGCCAGTGCTCTTCAGTCAGAGGACTCCGGGCTGGATGCCATCTCCTGCAGCATGGGAGGAATCAAGAATGTGAACCAAGTGTGCGGCCACAATTCCGCGTGGCCACCACATAGGTGGGAGTCCACCAGAGGCCCGGAGCTACCAACATGTTTCTTTCACAGCAATATATATATAGTTACTGTTATGCCCCAATAATGGGTCCGTGATTAAAGGAGCGAGACTGATACAAAGCGAAGGTCAAGCAAAGCTTTATTTCGCGCCAAGCATCAAGAATCTAACCAAACGCTCGGGGCCGCACCTCTTAGAAGAGAGGGCGACCCTTCTCTGTTTCACAGCCTAGCTTTTAAGGGCAAAGGCCATGCGGTCGGGCCTGGCCACGCACAGGTGGCCAATGAGATTGTAACACACACAGGAAACCACAGTGATGCTAGGTGACCAATTGAGTTACAATTTACCCTAGTAAACATTTGAACCAGCCTACTACACCTTGATTGGGATTGGAGCCCAAAAGGCTCCCAAAGGGCGGGGCCCATCCTCCTTGGTAACCAGGGAGACAGTATGCATCCCCCCCCACTGATCAGATGTCTCCACCTGGCCTGACCCACCCTAGTATCTGGGCTTTGTTACCTGAAGCTGGTTTCCGGGATTTGTCTCCAAGTAAATCCCCTGGGGGAAGGGGAGCAGGGACAGTTTCTAAATAGGTCCTTACATTCCCCCCTTTTCTTTGGAGACTAGTCAAATCTTTGACTTTTTAGCCAGTTCTATGCCCTCCTTTTATCAGAAACAGTAAGTTAAGCCCCCCCTTTTCTATTCGCAATTGCTTATACCTCCCGCCTATATCTTAACAACAGGGCCAACAATGAATTTAATGAACTCATTGTTTTTTTGAGTCTTAGTTTTAGTCTGTGATTGGCAGGGTCCATTGGCAGCGGCATCCACCTCTGGGGGGTGTTCTCGTCCTGGGCGGTTTGACGTGACCTGCGTGAATCCAGGTCCTGATGCCTTCTACTTTTATTGCCATGGGGGTGGTCAGGATGACAGTAAACGGTCCCTTCCAGCGAGGCTCCAAGCCTCCCACTTGGCAGCAGTGCATCCAAATTAAGTCCCTGGGTTGGCGAGGAGGTGGCTCCACCTCTGTCTCCAGCCCAGTGTGGGCAGTCCGGATCCCTGCATGGGCTTTTTTAAGACAGACTATAATGCCTGCAGTGACTGGAGTACAGACTGAGCAGTCATTTCTGCTATAGCAACCTCTTTCTCTTTTCTCTCTTCCCATTCTAGTTCTTTCCGCATTTACCACCTGACACTGAACACATCTATCAACCAGATCTTCAGCCATACGCCCTAATTTAGAAACCTAGAACTGCTTGCCCATAAGCTCTTTTTTTTTTTTTAAGATTATTTATTTATTTATTTCACAGACAGAGATCACAAGTAGGCAGAGAGGCAGGCAGAGAGAGAGAGAGAGGGAAGCAGGCTATCCACCGAGAAGAGAGCCCGATGCAGGGCTCGATCCCAGGACCCTGGGATCATGACCCGAACCGAAGGCAGAGGCTTTAACCCACTGAGCCACCCAGGTGCCCCCCCATAAGCTCTTTTAAACTTGCGTGTCCCGGGACACCTGGGTGGCTCAGTTGGTTGGGCAGCTGCCTTCGGCTCAGGTCATGATCCCAGCGTCCTGGGATCGAGTCCCACATCGGGCTCCTTGCTTGGCGGGGAGCCTACTTCTCCCTCAGCCTCTGCCTGCCATTCTGTCTGCCTGTGCTCGCTCTCTCTCCCGCTCTCTCTGACAAATAAATAAAATCTTTAAAAACAACAAAAAAAAACTCTTAAAAAAAAAAAAACTTGCGTGTCCCCAAATGAGTTCCCTGATGTATTTGGCTTAATAACTTTCTTCTAGTCTTAGCCCAATCTCCTTTATAGTCTAATTTAGTCCATTCTACCATAGTGAGTCCTCCCTTAGTTCGTAGAGAGGTCACGCCATCTCCACGAACCACGGTATCCACAGCCTGCAGTAGCCCAACGTCCCAAGAAACTCCCTCATGGAGACCAAAGCCTAAGTAAGTGGCGTGGCTTTTACAAAGCTGTGTTTTCATTGCTGACACCTGATATTTTTCCCTGCAGAGTCTGTAAGAGAGCTCTCGTCCCCTGCAAGCACGACCCATAGTCCTCAGCGGCTATTTCTACTATTCCCACTAACTCAGTCAGATTTTTCCTTTCAATTCCTTCAATTTTCTGAAGTTTCCTCCTTATATCGGGCGCTGACTGACTGGCAAAAGCAAGATCGTTTACACGAGTTATCGTGCAACTTCTCTGAAGTTTACCTTAAGTTATCTAGCTTAGGTAAACAAACATTTAATAACAATCTAATCTAGAATTTGACACCCATAAAGGCATGTTACTAAAACATAGTTTTTCTCTCTAAAATAACCCTCATTTCCAGAGATAGCCAAATCAGGACTACCTCACTTGAGAAACTAGTCCAGTTTTTAACAAACTTGGCCTATTATTTACATAAGCTCAGCAAGAACAGTGAGAATTCATATAGATCTTTTAGAATCTGCTTTGCTGGAACTTTTTATGAGGAAGCTCTAGGTTGAACTTTTAGTAGCCTCTCCGGGCCAGAAGCCAAGCCACGTACTTGCCATCAGACATGCCTGCAATACCAGTCGACCTGGGCGAATTCTTCTTTCTGAGGCTCTGCACCTACCAAGGAGTGACATTCTTTACTCACCTGGTGAGGTTGCGGGGAACTCTGTAAACAAGGTATCAGGCCAACAGTTCCAAAGGGCTTTATGGCTCCAGGTTTTACAAAGTCAACCTTAGTTCCTTTAAGCTGGTCATATCTGAGTCTTTTCAAATATGACGTTCCAGTCAAAGCCTTGGTAAAATAACCAGTGTCCAATGCTGTCCTGTTACAAGGAGAACAGATTCTTATTGAACTTATGCAAATGACTGACTGCCAAGGAAGAATACTTATTGAGCCCTTTTGGTTTCAGAGGGTTCAGATAGAGAGAAAAGTTGAATGCCTTGATTCGTTTACAAATGAACACCTTTACATATCTATAAGTTACAGATAACTTAAGAAAAAGTTTCCCTAGTCTAGAGGAGCAAACATTACAGAACCAGGCAGGCCCTTGGGAGAGTTCAATCCAAGTATGATGGACTCTGCTGGACCCTGAGTGCTGCCAAGATGAACCTCTGTATAGAAGGCACATTGTGGGTCCCATGTACAGATGGACTAAAATGCCCCCAAAGCCCCTTTTCTCTTCCTCACAAACCTACATTTCTCAGGCTTCCGGCAGTTACACGGAGCTATGTGACAGAGTTCTGGCTAATGGAATGTGGACAGAAGTGATGGAAAACATGACATGGCCTACATCATCTTCTTTGCTTGTTTCATCAGCCAGCTGCACAGAGAAGATTTGGCAGAAAATTCTGAGGAGGCTGTAAGGAATAGCTAAGACCTGATAGAAGAAGCCTGAGTCCCTGAATCAAGGACCGCCTTCTGGAAGGAGGGTCATTTGACCACTTCACACTGTGACATGAGCACAAAAGACATCTGTATTGTGTTGAGCCACTGAGGTCCTGGAATTGTTGGTTACTGCAGGTGTAGTTACCTGCTGTTAAAGGATACATCTTTTTTTTTTTTTTTTTAAGATTGATTGATTTGAGAGAGAGAGAGAGAGCAAACATAGAGGGGAAGAGCAGAGGGAGGGAGAGAAAGAAACTCAAGAGGACTCCATGCTGAGCAGAGAGCTGGATGTGGGGCTCAATCCCAGAATCCTGAGATCATGACCTGAGCCAAAACCAATAGTCAGACAATTAACCATCTGAGCCACCCAGAAGTCCCAGGATACATCTTTTTTAAAAACTAAAATCGTGGGACACCTGGGTGGCTCAGTTGGTTGCTCAGGTCATGATCCCAGAGTCCTGGGATCAAGGGCCACATCAGGCTCCCTGCTCAGCCGGGAGCCTGTTTCTCCTTCTGCCTGCTGCTCCCCCTGTTTGTGCTCTCTCTCTCTCTCTGACAAATAAAATGAATAAAATCTTTATTTTTAAAGATTTTATTTATTTATTTGACAGAGATCACAAGTAAGCAGAGAGGCAGGCAGAGAGAGAGAAGGGGAAGCAGGCTCCCTGCTGAGCAGAGAGCCTGATGCGGGGCTCAATCCCAGGACCCTGGGATCATGACCTGAGCCAAAGGCAGAGGCTTTAACCCACTGAGCCACCCAGGCACCGCCTGAATAAAATCTTTAAAAAAAAAAAAAACCAACAACCTAAAATTGTGACTTGTGCAAATATGAAATGAACATGTGTCAAAGATTTTGTTTAATTATTAGTTTTTTGAAGATGAAAGAA